ACAGAAATCAAGTTGCATAAGGCTGCAGTGGGGCTAACCTGCTGAGTATTGGCAGAAACTTTTTTTCAGTCATTGACCAGTAAAAATACAATCAGTAAAATGAACAAGACAAAACAATCCCTACTGGGCTTGAGTGCTAGATTCCTAAAGCCTGCAGTGGAAGTGTTAACTCTTTCTTTTTGGTACTCTGAATATCAAAGGCTGATTTACATCATACATTTATATAAAATATTCAGATATACTCTTGCAATACAATCATGTAGCATATTTTAGATGTTAAGAGATTGTATCAATTTGCTTAAGTGATGCCCAGCAGATGTAAAAAAATATTAAAGTATTTTTTCTCTTAAAATATATATATTAAAGAAAGCATTTCATTCATTACCTCTTAAAAGCTTATATAGTCCTACATTGAGAGCATTCCACCAGTGTGACAATAAATATATTCTTGTTTTGATACACTATTATTTTCATACTGGTCCAATTTAATAATGTCCCCTTTTCCTTTCTTAATAATCACAATATTCTCCCTTTATTATTACAGGAAGTGATAAAAATATTTTCATGAACTGGCTTATGTGGCGGATTCCCAGGAAACAGGACTGTCTTACATTTCCTTTGAAAGTGATTCTCAATCTCCTGACTTCTCTAATGCTAATTTGCTTTCATTATGCATTTTTTTCTGACATTTGATCTATCTCTTGCTTATATTTCTTTTTAATATACTTTTTATTAAAAATTTGAAACACATAAAAATTTTAAAAAGATAAAAACTAACAAGAATTAATACAAAATAAAAAGATAAAAAAGAAGGATAAAGATTCAAAACTTTAAAAAGAAAAAAAATAGAATATTGCTTCTGATTTCTTTTACAGCAAGTATTACAAATATAAAATTATCTCTTACTCTATGGTTACAAAAACAAATTCTCTTTTTTTGTGATCTATTTTTTTTCCTGATGGTAAAAACCATAAATCATAAGTTCATTTTTTTCTGTTTATAAGGGGCTTTCAGTCAGCAATAAAAGTAAATAATGTAGATAATAAATTAGTCTTTTCTCGAATTAAAGAAATCAATGTAGCTGTCTCTGCAGATTCCATCACCTTCACCAACTATTCCTTCATGATGGGTAGTGTTGAGTCTTTCCACTTTTGTGCATATAATAATCTTGCTGCAGTTGTCATATATAAACAAAATTCCATGATCCTTTTTCCAGCTGTCTATCCCTCAATTCCAAAGGGAAAGCTTCCAGTTTCAATTGTATATTGATCTTTAAAATCTTCTGTATTCATAAATGTATTTGTATTCAATTTTTTTGGCTTATCCACCAAAGATAATAAAATCTTCCTTTTACTTCCTTCCCCCGTTCTTGCATTTTTAGCTTTCTCTTTGACTTTTTAAATTTTTTCTTGCTTTATCATTAGTTTTTTTTTTAAAGTATTTAGTAAAATATACACCAGAGAGAGAGAAATAGAGAAATAAAATCTGGCCCATGTTCTGTTTAGACATCTTGCTAGGATTTCTTCTTTTCTGCTGATGACTTAAAGTAGCTCAAATACAGAATAAAAACATGAACAGATCATAACTTTTGATAGACTGCACTTTTTGTTCAAGAACTCAAGGTGGTCATTTGGCACTCCTTTCTTACATCTGTTCCAATAACAACAACCCTGGGCTGAAAGAGTGACTGGGCCAAAGTCACACAGAACCTTCCCCGGCTGAAGGTAGACTTGAATCTGGATTTCCCTAGATTTACCTTAACCAATGCATGATGCTGGTTTAATGAATTGCACAAAGACACTCTTGTTAGTCTGTGTGACAAATACTGTGGAATGGTTTGCTTGACAGTAGTTGGCTGCAAAACTAGAACAGCTTAAGTTTATACAACATGCATGGTATGTGGATTAAGATTAAACCAGAGTAAGGAGACCAAGTCCTAGTCCACTTTCAACTCTGGACAGTTCATGGGACAGTTGAGGCCAGTCATTCTTTCTCAGCCAACACATATCATATGATGGTTGTATTTTTGGGGAAACAAATAGTACAGAGAGCTATATATGCTGTCTTGAGCTCCTTCTCCTCAATGAAGAATGGGTTACCAATCTAATAAATAAACAAATACAAAAAATTTATGACACTGAGAAATAATTGTTTTCTGGATTCAAGCAATGGAGACTACATCTTTTGGAATCAGATCTTTACTGAATACCACGGCAGGCTGGAAGGGTGGAGCAAGCAGCAGTTCTTCCTATTCTGCAGAAGATGAAAACTCTCTTTATATGCATGGAATCAGGCAACAAGCTTGCAATCTAGGGAGTTCTAAAAAGTGAAAGTTTTACAAAGGCTGAATGTTCCACAGAGGCTGATATAATTCATTCTGCTTCCTTATCACTTGGTAGCCAGTACAAGCCACATCCTGTTTTCCCTAGCAGTAGTAACTGTAGTACGAGAGAGAGAATGGAGTAGGGGGAGCCTTGCCTTGTTCAAACTATATATACTCATTCTTCCTCCAATGGTTTAAGCATAATGACATGGTAGCTGCCGAAGTTCTAATAAAAATGCAAGTAAACTGAGAATTTCAAGTCTTCTTTTTATGTTTTAGCAGATGAGATATAAATATGATTTTTGAAATTCCAATGGAGGTACTGGTTATCATTCATACACTTTGAGGACTGTCTTGGATAAAAAATATATCAGAGGCCTTGTTTTCTCAGAGTAATGGACCAATTTAGAAACAGGTTTTTGCCAATCCAACTATTTCATAAAACGAGGTAATATCATTTTCTTATAAAGATTTCATTCATGGTGTTAATTTAATTCAATTTAGTTTTCAACTGATTCTGGGCAGCTCACAATATACTACCATAAAGTAATCCAATCCAATTCAAAAGAAGATGGGATCCAGTCACTATACCGAGATAAAAACAATAAAAAGGCATACCCAAGAAGGAGCCCCATCCATCTCAACAAGGCTTTATGCCAATGCCAAAAGGGTGGGGGTTTCAGGGTGATCTCATTCCAAAGGGCAGGCCCCACAACAGCGAAGGCTTGCTTCCTGCAATTCCAGCTGCAGAAATGCTTATAATTACATAATTCCTAGCAATTCCCTCCTGCTATCTTTATTGGGGGGGAAAGTATGGGAGAAATGAATTCAGCAGGAGCCATTGGGAGAGTAATGCTCCTGACCATGAGCAGACTACAGAAAGAATACTCATTAAGTAACATTTTCCAAGACAACGTCCACAATATAGTTTATCTTCAGTGCAGGTGTAGCCCAGATGTCAATGAATATTCTAACAGGTGTTCCTACATTTACAGTAAAAACTAGATTAAAAAAATACATGAAAATAGGAAAAACTCACTTCCATTTAAACTAGCTATCGGAGGATAGAATAAGGCAGTGATGGCGAACCTTTTAGAGACCGAGTGCCCAAAAACTGACCCCGCCCCGCTCTACCCCCATCCCCTGCCCCGCCTGCCGCAGGGCCACTCACTGCCTCCAGGGCCCGCCACATATTGCTCAGGCAGCCCAGCAGCGCTATGGCGGCCACACCCTCTGCCCACACCCTGCAGCATCAGCTGTGCACAATGGGGTGTGAGGGCAGAGTCTTGTCTACGCTGCCTGGCTGCCATGTCCTTGGCTGTGCTGCTCTGCATGGGCCACGCTCAGGGCTGACTCTCCTTCAGGGGGGCTGCTGGAGAGGAGGGGGTCGTGGGGGAAGGCAAGGCTGGGGCAACGGCACGTGTGCCCACAGAGAGGACTCCGAGTGCCGTCTCTCGCACCCGTGCCATAGGTTCACCACCACTGGAATAAGGACTCGGAGAACCTTTGCTCTTAAGCACAGGGAGCACATTAAATAACAGTTAATTAATGTTACAAACACTAGGTCAGTGCGTGAAGGCCCTTTTCCTCACTCTCTCCCCATTTGCCTTTGTGGTAAAAAAGGCAAAAGGCAAAAAGCTACAAACTTCCAAAACCAAAACTAAAACAATTGTAATTGTTAAAATGTCTGTTCTTTAAGGTATAGCTTTATTTTCCGGTTCAAAAGTTCATTAGCCACTACATTTAGTTGAATCCAGTCTAATATAATGGTTTTGGTTTTCCTTCGTCTTCTGCCCCAAATAGGCGTAATGTAGACCACCTCGATACACGCAAAGAGGAACCTTGGATCTTCAACTAGCGTGGAAAAGGAATAAGATGCTAGAATCAGTGTTTCTCAACCTTGACAATTTTAAGCCATGTGTACTTCAACTCCCAGAATTCCACAGCCAGCAATGCTGGCTGTGGAATTCTGGGAGTTGAAGTACACATGCCTTAAAATTGTCAAGGTTGAGAAACACTGTGCTAGAATCAACCTTGGCTCTTTTATGACTCGTGGACTTCAACTCCCAGAATTCCTGAGCCAGCTATCCTATGCTGGCTCAGGAATTCTGGGAGTTGAAGTCCACGAGTCATAAAAGAGCCAAGGTTGACTACCCCTGTGCTAGATAGAAAAAGTAATCCAAGATCCGGTCCCACCTGGTTTAACGTGACCCTATGCACCGTCTCTGCCGTCGGCTTTCGCGACGCGGAAAAGAAATATGAGAAGTAACAGATCAACCACCGACGGGGGTGTTTTCCCCAGGACGTTTTCTCTACTGAAACGCTGCTCCATGTTTTATTGCACTAACAGGTTGTGCCTTCAAATGCTCACGTAGAAGCTAATCCCACTGACTACAGCGGAAGGAAAACAGAAACTTCGGAGCAAATATACGTGCAGTTGGTCGGCTTTGTGCTGCAACTGTCTCAACTGATCGCTTTCCCGACCCTTTCCACGTGCGCTTCACCCACCGCCGGCCGTCCTTCCAAGCGTGAGTGACGTTAGCAAAGCGAAGTTCAACTTTGAGCGCCTCCTTAAACCCCTGGACCATCTGACTCCGTAACCCCGCCCACTCGGCTCCAGTTGCGAATGAAAATTCAGCCCAGCCGAGCCGAAAAGAGGAACGTGTGAGTGGGCGGAGGGCAATCCAAAGAAGAATCAGAACTAGTTGGACCGTGGGATGCGCGCGCCGTCCACATTGTAAGAGCCATATGCTTAGCATGCTTCATGATAGTGGGAAAGGTTGGGAGAGTGGAAAAGCTTTTAGGAAGAATGGAATAAGAAGACCCGAGAGAGTTGCCGTGTTAGCTAGTGGGCTAGAGAAGCTGTTTGCTTGCTGCTTAGAAAGGAAAAGGCGCTCCTTTTGCACGATTGAAAAAATCAAACTGCCCCGTCTTGCCAACTTGCTGCCGTCGGACTGTTTATAAAACCGAATGGGCGATGTTTCATTTCAAGGGAGGAGAAAGGGTTTTTTTTTTTGTACGAGGAGGAATTGCGACATATTAATGTATTTGCGTAACATATTTTGACCGGGTGGGAAGAAAAGTTGCTTGAGTGACTTGTGACTGTGACTTTTACGGAACCGAGAATAATCCTCGGCGCTTAGATGTTTCCCACGTGTTTGGCGATCTAGGGAATATGGATTTCGGTTTCTTAAGAACGATAGGCGATCTAAATACAAACCCTTGCAAGCTATTCTTCCATCGGGACTGCCTTTCGTGAAATATTCTTGGGAGAGGGGTGGTGTGGCAGGGTTTCGCTGAGCAGAAACTGATAATGTGGCAATGTCAAGATCAGGAGACGAAGAACCAGCGTAAACGTAGGAATGTTATTAGATGAGACAATAAGTATGTTCAAATGCAAACAGAGGAACGAGGGTTAGAATCCTTAAAAGTTTTTTTAATATCTGGGAATAAACTCTGTTGAATATATTAGTAAGAATTACGCATGGGGCCGATGTATTTCTTGTATTGGTAGATTGGTTGATATTTGTCCCTGCTTGTCCCTTCAAGAATTAACAACATAATTAGTGGAGGATTTACTTGTTCTTTTCCTCAGTTTATTTGTGACCCTGATATTTCTCTTGTCTTTTCTAATTCTTGATAAAACTGCTCTTAATCTGTTATTAGACAAAAGGTAGTATATGAAATGGTCGATTTATATTTTAGCCAAATGCATTCAAGTCTTACACTGCTTACAGTTATGTCAAACACCAGAAAGATTGTAGTCTGCTTAATAATAATAATAATGATAATGATAATGATGATAATGATAACGATACAACAACTTTGGAATTGGGTAAGGAAAATGGTCATCATGATGGGCATGACCAGGCACAAAAAACCAAAAGGTTGATTCCCTACCATTTTCCTCTCCCCAGGTTATTTTTTGAAATATATTAATAGACTTATTTTTATGCCTTTAAGTCAGTTTTGACATTTGGTGTCTGCCTGGACAAGCTCTGCAGTGTTTTGGGGAAGGTTTTTCAGAAGTGGTTTGCCATTGCTTCCTTCCTAGGCTGAGCGAAAATAATTGGCTTAAAGTCGCTAATTGGCATTATACCCAAGGCAGGACTACAACTCATGATCTTCTGGTTTATAACCTGGTGCCAAAACCACTAGCCCAAACTGCTCATTAGATTTATAACCCACCTTAATTTGTACAATTAAGGCAACATGCTGTACATAAACCTGCCTTCTATTTTTTTACAACAGTAAACTTGTAAAGTGGGTTGGGCTGGAAAAAAAAGCAACTCCAGTAAAGTCCCTTAGCCAGCTTTTACCTCTGAGATTGGGCTAGAATTCAGGTTCTCCCAATTTCTACTGCAATACCTGAACCATTGCATCAACCCAGCTTCTTACTTTTGCTTTTTTTACTGGGCAGTTGTGCAGACTTGTAGGTAAAGCTTCATTCTTTTCTAATAATGGCTACAGGTGCCTGTAAGCTGCTGGTTCTGCTTCCAACTTAATTATTTTGCAGTTATACAAAACATCCTGAGAGAAAACCACAGGTCATAGCAAACAGAAAGTATGCATCATATACCTTTGAAATTGCCTCCAGTGGAAAAATTTCTGGGAAAACTAGGTGACTCTTAAAAACTTTCCAGCTGATATTTCTAAATTGGTTATGTTTAGTGTGGAGATGAGAAGATTGTAGTAATGTATAATAACTGTCTTAAAATAGCTGAAAGGGCCATTGGGTAGAAAATGGGGCAACATTGGTTTGGTTCTTCCAGAAGATAGGTTAAAATGAGCAAGATGGTAAATGGTGATAGGACAGGGGTGTCAAACTCTATTGTGTCACGTGACGTATTGTGACATATCACGATGTTTTTTGTCTTTGTGGAGCTGGGGTCGCATCCGGTCTGCGGGCCACCAGTTTGACACCCCTATGATAGGACATCAGGAAAAATGTCCTAATGGTAAGAGCTGTTCCTCAATGGAATAGATTGCCTCAGGTGGTGATGGAGAAAGAGTCTTTCACTGAAGGTGTTCAGTGGATGGATGGACAAGAAATTGGTCTAGACGATCTTCCATATTCCTTCCAATCTTTATATTCTGTGTCACAGACATCAAAGAAGATATTTATGGACACCATGTTTTTTGCCTTGGCTTAAAATGTCAGAATTGAAAATATGTGTGTATATTGTGAATATACCTTTCTTTCTTTCTGTGTGTATGTAAGGTTTTGTCACAGGATCCAGACTTTTTATTCTGAAGGAAGTACAGTCTGTGAGTGTGGAGAAGTAATCAAATTCTAAACTAACAGGCTGAACAGCCTTCCAAATAAGGAATATACTTCCTTATTCTCTTCTTCTCTCAATACTCATCATTTTCTGAATTTTACTATTTAAAACGCATGGTACTTAAAACTCATGGGGAACACAATACAGTAACTAGTATGCAAGGAAAAGAAGGCAGAGGTTATTTCAAATTTTTGTGTGCTTTTCAAGTTCTCTGACTATTGTGGATTTAGGCCTTCCAAGGCTATTATAATCACACATAACCAAGAGTTTGGGAGTTTTAATTCTGTTTTGGCTATGAAAGTCAGCTGAGTGACCTTGGGCCTATCACACAGTCTCAACACAACTCATCTCACAGGGTTGTTGTGGGAAGATAGGAGGAGGAAGGAGTATTGGCATTTTGAGTTGTTTATAAAAATAATAAATACACTTATCTGTAGGTTAACCTTCATACAACCTAATTGGAGAGGGTCAGAGAGCAGGATATTGTCTTCTTTTACCATGCCATTTTTTGGCTGTACCTGCTAAACCCATTCCTCCTGTGCTGCATTATTGAAGAGAAAGAAGGACTAAGTTGCAAAGGCAATTATTTCCTTATCTATCCCGTCTCTCTGGATGGCGCAGATGAAGATTGAATTCAATAGGCAGACATCCCAGTTTTGGGATTACCAGGAGATGGAATTCAGAAGAGAAGGAACAAAGTAGCTCCTCTTCCCAGGGTCATGCCAGTTGTTGCTTAGCCCTCAGCCCTCCTTAACTTTGCCCTAGCAGTTCAGCATATCATATAGGTGAGAATCCAGATGTTGGACAAAAGATAACTTTTCTCTATTTGCATATGCTGTATTTGCTCCAAGAAGCAAGCAGTACTTATAGGTTGAGGCTGAGGAAGTAGTGATGGTTTGGGGCAGGAAGAACTGCTGTCTCAAAACTATTCAGTACAAGGATTGGATAGTTGTTGGTAACATTGTAGTCCCACCTATTGTGATAAGTAGGGAAGGATGATCAAGAAAGGTAGAAGCCACCACTATGTTGTCTTGCTTTTCAGAATTTGATGGAATTTGGGAAGGTCTTTTTGCTTTTTCCCCCCAACAGGTATTGCAAAGCAGGGACAGTGATCAGTTTGCATGAATATTACATACAACATATTTCTGAACAAAGCTTGGCAGTTGGAATGGACACAGCTTTTCTGGCACCAATTTGGAAGTGGATTGCTAATGCTTCCTCTAGGATGTGTTTTAAACTTATGAGACTAGTGATGTTTTATTATGTTTTCCTGAAGGATAGCCTGTCTGGACAATCAATGCCATTGGCTCAAGCAGTGATTATAAGTAGTATTCATGCCACAGCTGTTGAACTGCATTCTTGTTGTCCATGCAGCAGAAAACATTGTGTGGGTGAGGATATAGTACTAGAAAACAAAATGTAGTATACAGTTAGGAAGAATTTAACTCTCTTCCTGTCTGTTCTTCCTTACAAATAGCCCTTCCTTGACTGGCTGTTAAACCAGAAGTGATTTTTAATGGCTGACAGTTGCTCTTAGAAAGGACATTTGCAATGGAGCTAATCTTAATGTAAGAAGGGTTGAAGGGTCACACCCTACAGATATCTGATCTCTCTCTACTGCTAATACAGATTTAGGGAAACAATTTTCTGAGAGAATGCTCATTCATCTTCTGTCACTTATTGTCCAAAAGACAGGATGATTATTTTTGCTTAGAGGAGACTGTTCTTTTAAACAATGGCAAGCAGAACAATAGTTCTTTTAAACAATGGCAAGCAAAGCAATGTTTTCTATTAAGGAAGGGTTGGTTGTGGTAGATTCCTACAATAATATTTTTTTTCTTGCCTTAATTACCTGTTTCTGTTGGAATTATGCTATAGTGAGCATGGAGATAGAGTGAGAAAATACCTATATAGTAGGACAAGCCTGATTGAACTATGACTAATACCTTGGGAATGGTAGAACTGAAAGACTGTTAAGATACCATATGAATGAGATTCACAAATGAGTCTGTAGTCCTCAGTGGAACTGCATCTACATAGAGGGAAGTGTGCAGTAGGGTATCCCAAGGTCTGGCTTAGGGCCAGTAGTCTTCAATATCTTCATCAATGATTTAGATGGGGGAATAGATGGGGGACTCATCAAATTTGCAGACACCAAGCTGGCAGGAATAGCCAACACTCCAGAAGATAGGCTTAAAATACATAAGGATCTTGACAGACTTGAACACTGGGCCCTATCTAACAAAATAAAATTCAACGTAGAGAAAAGTAAGGTTGTAGATTTAGGCAAGAAAAGCTAAAAAACACAGGTATAGTATAGGTGGTACCTGGTTCAATAGAAGTAACTGTAAGAGGGATCTTGGAGCCCTAGTGGACAATCACTTAAATATGAGATAGCAGTGTGCTGCAGCTGCCAATAAAGCCAACATAATTCTGAACTGTATTAACAGAGAGA